AAAAAAAATTAACAATGAAAATGAAAAAAGGAAATATAACAACACGCTGACAAATACAAAAGAGGAATTTTATGACCCAAAATTTTCAGGTGAAACTTTAGAATTTAGAAGTAGATATAACTGGAATAGAGGAAACTGAAAAATATTGAAGCATTTTAAAAGCCTTAAGCTGGTCAGCTAAAATTTTGAGTCCTTGAATTTTTCAAAGGCAACGAGATTAGGCAGTAAGTCTATGCAGAACTATTTGGAAAAAAATTTTATAAGATGTTCTATTTCTTTTCCTTTATGTTCTTGTGTTTTCTCTCTTGCTATTTTCTCTTTATATGAATTTGATGCAATACTTAGATGTTAAATTTAAAACTTTTCTTTTACCTACAGGCCTCATTTCTTGAAAATATAGGTATTATGAGATTTGAAGACTTCATTTCCAAGATAATCATGATGGATTATACCCAATCAACTTCAGATGAATATATTACAGTAACTGATACCACATTTAATGATGTTCCAGTACGACTGTACTTACCAAAGAAGAAGTCAGAAACCCCGAAACGAGCTGTGATTTATATTCACGGTGGTGCTTTTTGTCTTGGAAGCTTCAGTAAGTGCATCAGATCCTAAGAAAAATGCATAACTGGCTGTATGCTTTTTATATTATCAACATATTATATAAATATGTATGTAGTATAATTGTATCTATTAATATTAGATATTAAAAGTATATGGCTAGATTTGACAGATAACCCTAGATTTTAGTTTTCTGGCATACTATTTGGAAAATAATATTATGGAGAAAGAACATTTATTCAGTTTTTGTTTTTCTTTTGTTTTGGTAAATATGGTTATCCCCCCAGATTTCCTACTGAATCAACATATGACAGTAAGCTATAAGCATGTGAAGGAGTAACATTTTTCCCCCCATTGGGATCAGAATATATTCAGGAGTAGAAACAACCAATTGTAGCAGATGTTTAAGTGAAAAATCAGAAGCACGTGCTGTTGGGATCGCAACAAGACCAAGTTTGTAATTAGTGATAATAATAATAACAGTGGTCAAGCACAGAGTTAATTTATCCTATTGACTCGAGGAGGAGAGCTCAAACTGGCATCAATGTGGCATAACACTTACCACAAGTTTAGGCCCCCAACTTAGTGGTGGGGATCATTCTAAAGAAATATTTGCAAATTGAAAACAAAAAGCTAAATAAAGTTACCTTTAAAACTCTTATCACCAATATGGTGGTGGTTTGGGAGAATCATTTTGCTACTTAATAAAAATAATAACATTATGTAAATAAATAGGATTACATTTAATTACAGCTTTGAATAATTTTCTAAATCATCATTGAAAAATAATATTTACATTGTGTCATAATCCAAACAAAACTTAATATATCCCTTAAGAAAATACATATGTCCCCACAGTTATGGAACCATGTCTAGGCATGTGGTAAGAAAGTAGAACTAAGGGTAGGAGGTGGTGCACTGAAAAATAAAGAAAAAAAAAGTAGAACTATAGTAACTTCTAGCTCCCAAGTTATCTAGATCCTGAAGCCCATATTTCTTCTTTAGATCATTACGAAAAGCACTACTAACCTTTATTTTCTTCGTTGTAGCTTCTTACTGTTAATTAGGTTGAGGTTTACATTGTAAATAACCAATTTTGTACTCAACACTTTGAAACTGCTTATTGAAACACCCATTAGCTTGCCCACCTACTTTAGCTTTCTCCTCTCCCTTGTAGAATAATACCATCTCCTTCACCCACATTCACTAATACCTTTCTGCCCTCTCACTCACCTCTTCCTATTCCCTTATCCATCAGTTTGTTTCTTTTGGTATGGAAAATTAGTATGTTTTTTCCCTTTCCAACAGTGGTCTCATACAATATTTGTCCTTTTGTGATTGATTGATTTTACTCAACCTATTGTTCTTCAAGTCCATTCATGCCACGAGGTGCTTCACAGTTTCATCATATTTTTTAGTGATGCATATCCCTCTCTGACTCTCTATAGGTCGCATTAAATTCCAAATAGTTTGTGAACCTTATTAATATATATGCAATACAAAAATTGAAATTAACCAAATATTAGTATGAGGATTAGGCAAAGAGAAAATAAGCATCAAAATTATTGAAGTACAAAGACTCAGGTTAATAAAGAAAATACTATAAATGAATTTGACTTTCTAGTTTTCTCCTCTCTCTCTTTATGCCAGCTGATATCATGAGAAGAGCATATTCATAATCAGTTACAAATTTCACACTGACTTGTCAAAAGAGAACCATTTCAGTGACTCAAATAGCAGTTGAAGACTAGTCAGCACCTGTGCATCATGGAGTATTTGAAGAACACATGGCTACCAATCGAAGGAAGGCCAAAAAAGTATGGTGCTGTTTTGGTTTGGTTTGGTTTTTTTTGTAGGAAAGAGGTAAAATTGAAGAATTGTCCTGGCAGTTACAGTTGGGGCAGAAATATTCAACATTAATAAAAGCTTAGGAATAGATCTCTCTCCAGATTTTGCTCATTTGATTTGGTTAGTGAATCCTAGAAACCATGGAACAGGATAATTTTTGCAAGCCTTAAAATTTGTCAAACCTTCAATGATAGAAAATGTAAATAGCATTTTAATAGAAGTAGGAGGACAAGGATAGAAAAGAAGTGGGAAACAGGGATCCTGTATGTTTTATTTATTTTCCTTTATTTTTGTCTATAAAGACATATCAAGAAAAACAAGAAAGTAAGCAAAATATAAAACCAGAAAGCTTCTGATATCGCGGTGAGAAATGTAGCTCTCTGACCTCGGCTAAAAGATTTTCTACTATGCAACACCACCACTTGTCTGTCAGTTTGTCAAACAATGGTGGCTTGTGTGTTGCTGTGATGTTGGGGATGTTGGAAGCTGGGTGGTCAGCCAAAGCGAACGGTTTCAGCAGAGCTTTAAACCACATGCATAACATGAGAAACTGTCAAATATAGAAAGTCTATTGAATAGAAGCAGAACTGTGTCAGAGATAATCCCAGAGGATGGGGCCTCGGGTCAGCAGGCACTGGAAATGTTACTGAGGGGGATTTGCTTTCTCAATGTATAGTCTGCCATGGTGTCCTCAAGAGCATCAAGTCGGTGGGAGTAAAACATTTTGGATCTTCATTTGCTGTTGGTGAACAACTGAAAAGAAAAAGAAAGAGTTTCAAAAATCTAGTAATAGCTGGAAATTATAATATACAAAGTATAAATGTAGAAAAATTGGAAATCAAGCGTAATGAAGCCTGTAATGAAATATTTCAGGCTTCAGTGAGCTGGCATGAGCTGGTATTGGTCATTTTGAATAAGAAACCGTATGCTTTACTATGACGGGAATGAAACAATCAAGAGGAATGGCGCTGCACTCATCATCACACAAGATATTTCAAGATCTATCTTTAAATACAATGTTGAGACGAGCCAGTCAGGATGCGATGTAACAACGATGA